TCAAATTGTTATTGCCTTTGCTGCCCTGGAAGTAAAATTTCAAGTAAAATTTCGGTGTGAGAGTTTGTCTTTGCTTGTGTCTGGCTACTCTCAGCAGCTGGGCTCCCAAGCAGGCAGGTTCCTCACACTTCCCCACCAGAAGGGCGGTTTCAGGGTATTAACTGGGCAGCAACTTAGTTTCAAAATTTTTTCACTTCCTCTGCATCTTCCTGTGTTCCAGGCCCTCAGGAGTTTTCTATCTGCAAGCTGATCTGATAAACCAATGCAAGTTAAAAAAATGAATAACATGCTAATGGTTTGTGATAATTAATGGTAGCTCCTTCTTAGATAACATCACCGCATTTTGTTAGGGACCGGAGGAAATAACTTATTCAAAAGAATGTCTCTGAGAATTTCATATCCTATGCTGGCAGATGGATAAATGCTTTGAACCTAGGAACCTAGGGATGTTTTGCCCTCCTCAAATCATTTTATAAAATAACTTTTTTTTTCTTTAGTTTCAGGTGTACAAAGCAACATAATAGACATTTATACCCTTCACAAAATGATAAACTCCCTCCCCCAAGCTACTACCCCTCTGACATCATATATAACTGTTACAATACCACTGACTATCTTCCTTACGCTATATTCCACCTCTCTTGACTATATATATATATATATATATATATATATATATGGTTGTCGGAAAAGTCATGACACACACACACACACACACACACATATATTTCCCTTATAGTTGACATATAATATTATTCTACTTCAGCTTTAGGTGTATAGCACATTGATCAGGCATCCACACAGTCTATAACGTGATCCCCTTGAGAAGTCCAGGGCCCATCTGGCACCTTATATAATCTTGGCAACATTGTGGATTATATTCCCCATTCTGTATTTCATATCCCCAGATCACAAATGCATTTCCTTCACTTCAGCTGCCAGTTGGAATTCCTCTTCTTCTTCTCCTGAAATTGACTAGAAAGTTTCAGGTAAAGAGAAAATGGTTCTCCTGAACCTCTCTGTCTTGTTACTTACTACACTCTCTTGGCTGTGCAGATCAAAGGACAAGCGCAAACTTAAAACACTTAGCGTTCAATACAGAGAGCTGTCAGCAAAGAGAGCCTACCAAAAACACAGAAGGTAACAAGGGCTGTGAGGAACTGTCTTCCAAGGTATGTCAGCACACCAGGAAAATGGCCCAACCTCCTAATTTGACTCTGAGCTGCTTTGGATAAAAACATACCAGTAAGAGTGGTTTACCTTAGGAGTCTCCTATTCAGAAAATGGACTGTTTGATTTATAGACCCTATTGAGAACCTAATCATTGATTAGTTTAAGTATTAGAAATACGTGTTGTAGAAATATATTTTGTGATGTGTGTATGTGCATGTGAGGCTGAGGAGGGAGGGAGGCTGGAAGAAAGAGAGATGGACACACACACACACACACACGCATACCTTTTGGAAGACAAAGAAAGAAAACTGGAAATAATCCCAATACACTTAATGAGGCCTCACCGGACTAGTCCTGAGTCCAAATCAAAACCTCAAGGCAGTCTGAAAGCTTACATTCCCAGAATCTAGTCCATCACAATGGGTCAGAAAACACTTGACATTTCCTTCCACTACATCTCAAGTATGTCTCCAAGCATTAGCCATCCCTTTGTTCAGAGAGTAAACTGGAAACAGCTAATTCAGCAACTCAGTGGCTTGGGGAGCCACGAATACTACTAAGAATTAGAACCGAAGTGAGAGGCAGCTAAGGGGATTATTCTGATAACTAGATGAGACTCAGAACCTAGGGAAAGTCGGGGAAAATATTTGCCACAAGAGGGAGCAGGAGAATTTGGTCAGATGGGAGACTATTTGGTAGATCTTATGATGAGGGATCTAACTATGAGGCCTGGATGATTTGGGAAGATGTTTTGGGAAGAGACATTTACCCCTTAGAGGAGAAAAAAAAAAAGAATGAAAGGATCAGGAAGAAGAGAAAGGTCATCGCACGTTGATTCCAAAGTGCTTAGCAAATGTAAAGCAACAATCTAATTTTTAGTTAAAAGCAACACACATGCACTCTGCAAAAATATAAGCCATGAAAGATATGTGTGTTTCTAACCACCTCTTTTAATTGTATATTTCTTTTTCCTGATTTAATTTCTGTTTGTTTTGATGTTGTTTATGTCCCTGCCGATGGGGCAGCCTTGCTTGCTTCCTACCTGCATGCTATTCTCCCTCTACCTGAAGGCATCATGGAAAAAGGGCTCTTCTCACTGATTTGCAACATGAAAACCTGATAGTCAAGTCCTAAAATGCACTTACTTTGGGAGAAACACACCCATGAGCTAAATGAATGCTTTAACTTGCTTTAAAAGGAGAATCCAACTTCAGTGGATATGCAAAGTTTCCTCATCATTTATTTTGTCAAAGAAACACATTAAGTACTTAGAGGGAAGGAACGATGCGTTTACTTTGCAAGATAAATAAAAGTCTATTTTTGTCTGATAAAAAACATGTTAAATATAGCTTGCTAACAAAATGTTGAAGCTCTCTTGGAATATATTTTTTTCTCAAAACATAGTAAGCTAAAAAGAGCAATTAACTTAATTCTTGCAAATAGTCCTGTAGGTGTTACTGACTATATTTCACCTTCTTTTTGTAATTTTATTTGGAGTTTAAAGCACAGCTACTGCTATGCATTTCCTTCCCCTTCACAGTTAACAAAAGGGTTATCTAGTTTTCAATCTTAATCCAAAAAGATACAGTAGAAACCATTAGATAGTAACGGTAAAAATTAAATATAAAAATAGATAGGTAGGTAGAGAAATAAACAGAGACATAGATATAACGCATAGCCTTCATACTCTCAATTCATTACTTTTCCTCTTCCAGCCCTGTTAAGCTTGCAAGACAGTAAACGAAACCTAATTATCGTGGACACTTACTCCTTTGCAATGTCTGCACAGCTCAACAGTAAATAATAGTTTACCTTTGTCTAGCTCTTTTTTCCCCCCCTTAGGAGTTAATCATTCCATATTTAATAAAAGACAACAGCCATTTTAGAGGGGACAAAAAATCAGGGATCCTTTTATAGTAGCTGGGAGAAATCCTAACTAAAGAGCCTTTAGATCCAAATGGAATCCTGCAAGCAGGCAGAATTTATAAAATGAAAACCATTTAAGAAAACACATCTTGCTTCTTGATGAAATAAGTGGGTCTTTCCCCTCCTTGTCCCTCACAAAGCCCCAAAGATGGAGCTAGCCCTCCCTTCCTTCCTTCCTTCATACCCGCCTAACCTCCCAATTAAGCAAGTTTAGCAAAACCCAGAGTTAAACCCAAGTAACAGAGGATTTGAAAGAGGAACCTAAAAACAATCATCCCTATTCTGGCTTTGTTTTCTTATATGCAATGAATGAAACATCTAGATATATTTTCCTCCCTCCTTTCCTGACTTGCTGCAGGGGGTAGCTTTGGGAGAGAAAGAGAAAACATGTGAGGCTATGTGTGTGTGCTGGGGGCATGGGTGGGAGGTATGCTTTGAGAATCCCCTCCTGGTCGCTCCCCATTTCCTTTCCATCTTGACACCTATGCTGGATTGTGGATGTTTCATTATTGCTCATGTTTGGAGATACTCAAGCTCTGCCTTTCGGCAGATCGGATCAGAATTTCCACCTACTCCGCTAGCTAGCTCCTTCGTGATCAAGATACCTGTACTGTCTTTACCACGTCTGTCATTTTTTAAAACGCTTCTTCCATTACACGTCCTACTGATATCCTTTTTTCTCTTTTTAGTCTTTACACCTCCAGCAGGACAAAGTTTGTATTGTTACATTCACAACCACTAGTGGCTGACTAGCAGGAGGGAGACAGAGCGCGCCAGCAAGGCAGTCAGCCTAAGGGGGGGGGGGGGGGGGGGGGGTTAAAACCGATCCCTAGTACAAAGCATGACTTTCTTCCCAATGACTGCAGACACCATGCACAGTGCTCTCTTCAAACATTCTTTGTAAAATTTGATCATTCTGCTCTGAACCCAACCACTGCCACTTTGTCTGGCAGAGGGAAATCGGAACTGCGAGCCCACAGGCCATTCATCAGTCACCGGAATCCATGGGGGGAGGGGGGTTTTAAAAATCAAGGACGCACACATACTGTATTTGTAAAAGCAACGCCTGGGCGGATTTGGTTTTTCTAGCCGAGTGTCCACCCATAAGACCTCCCTCTTCTTCATTAAGGTGGAGCCAAGAAGGGTATCCTCACATCTCACAACACAGACCATTTCCCCAAGAGCCAGCAAAGCTCCACAGACAGATATGCATCTGCAAAGTTCCCCTCGAATCTTTTGGGGGTAGGGGGAGGTGAATGCCTGTACGTGCAGAATCCCCAAAGCCCACCCCGGCGCAATGCCCGGAAACCCGGACCCTTCAGCCCACTCCCCCGCTGCATTTCTCCCATATCTGTTCTCCCGGCCCGGGCCACACCTCCCTCAGCTCCGCAGTCCGAGGTGAAGGAGCAACCAGCGCTCGGCAGAAAAGAGGACTCCAGAGCGTGGCTTTGGGGAAGAACCCAGGGATTACCAGGAGGAGGGATGACCGCGAAGCAGAGCCCAGTGGGTGGGGACGCCTGGATCCCCAGTAGCGCTGTATTCCGGGTGGACTTAGCTCTTTGCGCCCCGAAGCCTCAAGAGCCCAGAGCGGTGCAGGGTGCAGCATCGCTGCTTAGCAGCCCCTTTTGCTTCCGGCAGCCAGGACCCGCAGGCAGGCACACTCACACCCAGAGGCTCAAGCCTGAACGATCTCATTCCTCGAGAAGCGTGGACACCCCGGAACATGTGTGGACACACACACACACACACACACACACACACACACACACACACACACACATACGATTTAGGAGCCGGTCCTTTGTCAAAGCGGAGGGAAGTATAGCCTCACGAACAACAAATGGAAAATAGTTGGCGGTATCAGACCCAGTCCCTCCGGCTTGCCCATCATAAGATCCTACCTGGTTTGGGGAAGTGTGGATAGATCCTTCCCTCTGTTCCTCCACGCTAGTAGGAAATACGGCGCACCCCCTCCTTTTAAATATCTCCCGATCAGGAAGAGGTCGCTCCCATCTTCAGCGGGAAGCACAAAGCTGGGGACCGCGGGCAGGTTCCCGTGCAGCGCCGGCGCGAGCAGGAGCGGCGGCAGCGGGCAGCCGGTGCGCGCGGGCGGGAGGCAGCGCCGAGGCCGGGAGGCTGGGAGGGCCAGGGCCCGGGCGGCGTGCGCGCTCCCCTCCCCCCGCGCACACTCGCCCGCCCGCCGCCCGCCGGCCGCCCGCAGCCTCGCACTGGCTCACACGCGTGCTCGGCCCCGCTCCCGCCGCCGCCGCCTCCGCCGCGGCCCTCCGAGTCCCCGCGCCCCGGCACCCCTGAGGGTCCCCTGGTGCCCTCGGCCACCGCCGGGTAGTAGAGCCGGCGCGTTTCTGGAGCACTAAGCCGGTAGCGAGCTCTTCCAGCCTCGCAGCTGCTGAGATTTTTTCGATTCCCCCCGGCTCTGCAGTGCGTTCCGGCTGCGCGCTAGCGCTCTCTCCGGCGCCCAGCCCATCGGTTGCACATGCAGACAGGCACTGCAACTTTTCAACCTTCCTCGCCTCACCGACAGACAGAACCCCAACCCCAACTCTCCCTACTCGTTTCTCACCTCTGAAATTGTTAATCGGGTATATCTTTCTTCTTCCACTTTCTATCCCTCTGCTAACGGAAGCTCTCTTTTAGCAAAGGGATCGGGGATATAGCAGTGGTTTTCTCTTAAATCCTCACTCCGAGTTTCTCCTACATATCAGACATGCACAGCAACACGCTGGCTAGTAGCTGCTGACACAAGCAGATAAGGATATGGGGGTGGGGAGAGAGGTATTCCCCAGCCAAGAACTCGGAAAGATTCTCTGTCTTGGCATTTCCCTCCAAGATTGCAGCTCACCTGGGAATAAAGACCAAGAGACTGTTTAATGTGAAAGCCATGCAGCTTTTAAACTACAGAGAGGAGTAAAAGCTGAGCAGTATGGTTGAGCTGGGAACGATCTAATGCAGCAATCGACGAACCATTCATTGCCCTTTCCAAGAGAAGCACTATCATTGCCAATACATCACTTCCCCATAATTAATAAAGGAGCATTGCACCAGGCTCTTGCTCTCTTGACAGCTCATTCATCCTTACAAATCCTTAATGACTTGGCAGGATGAAAGGCTAGACCTACTGTGGAGTTCACAAACCTGGCTGCACATCAGACACCTGGGAAGCTTGTTCAAAATGCAGATTTTAGCGTCCCATCTGAGACTCTGCTGTTGTAGCTCTCAAGCAGGACTTCAAGTTCGTATTATATTTTAAAGCACCAGTTTGTATTTCAAACCACTGGTGTGGTTTGCCAAGGTGTGGGGGGTCAGGGGCAGCTCTATGGGGAAGGTTAGAGGAGAGAGCTGTAGAGCGCTAGGCAAAATGTTAAATCCTTTGGCAGAGTTCTCCCCAGTACTTACAGTGCCGCTCTGGGGCAGCCAGCCCATAAGAAAAGACAGATTCTGACCGGGAACCCCACTGTTTGGCTATGAGACCAAGAGGGGCTAACAGATGTAGCCGTCCTCTGCCTCCATGCCAGTGGCTTTCAACTCTGACTGCACCTCAGAATCGACAGGGGAGCTTTTAAAAATCCCAGTGTTTAGGCCACACCCCAGACAGACCCATTCACTTGCAATCTCTGTGGGTTCCCTGGTTGATTTCTGTGTAACCAAGGTTGAGAACTACTGTTCTAGGCCAATCCTGCTCCCATGAGAATGTGCATATGCATAACCTTGGGAGTGCCCTTTCTTATGTAGTAGATCTGGAGCAGGCCTGGGATCCGCATGTCAGCATCACTTACTAGTGCTGTGCATGCTGCCAGAAGGGGGCCCACATTTTAATTAGCAGGAGTTTGTTGAGTTCCCTCCAGTGGTTGAGGTCACACAGCACGGTGGAGGAAATTCCAAGCTTCTTCTTGTCTTGTACATTCCCAGGAATCATTTCTCTCTAAGAACATTTTCCTTTTCTTGCTTATGAGTTAAATTTTCTTGGAAGCCACTCTCTGCACACAAACTTTTTGTTAGACTGCACTGATGAGTGCGTGTGCCCAGAATCACATGTAGAGAGACACAGAAGGTCACTATCTCTCTGTCCTCAGCCAAAAGTTCCTTAGGGTCCTGAGTTTAAGGGAGTGTGGGAGGCAGACGTTTGGCTCACACTCTACAAAAGGGGCTTGGAGAGCAAAGTGGGGGCTTTCTAAATGACACAGAGAAAAGCACAGGAGTCTAAAGACTCCACCCATAGGAAATGGGACAAAGCTAACTGAAAGAGCGGAGTGAAAGAGCTAAATGAAAACGTGGAGTACATCTTATTAGAAATACACTCTGTGGAAAAGGTGTGGTCTATTAGTGCTATTATGGACCACTTAGTGAAAGCTCAGATTTTCTGGAAAGTGGAAGCATGATTGTGACATGGGGTAACAAGGGCCTTGTTCTACTTTTTTTGTTTTGTTTTGTTTCAGGTGTATAAGACAACATAGTGATTACGCATTTATATACCTCACAAAGTGATAAACCCCATAAATTACCCATCTGACACTGTCCTTAAAGTCTATGTTCCATTGGTGCCCAGAGTCCTTCTTGGCAGCCCCTTAAAAAGGCATAAAGCCTGCATCTTGGGTCTTGTTATTCCTCCTCTCTTCCAACCTAGATTGACATTAGGTTAGTTTGGTTTATTGGGGGAGGAGGGGAACCTCCATTAAATGGTCCTCTCTTTACCTAGAACCTTTAAAGTAGTCTAGCGCCTACTTTAAATTTGGCACCCTTTTTGATTTGGCGCAATGTCTGAACCCCTAATTTTTATTTTGCCTTTCATTTCTCACTAAAGGAATCTTTATAAGGGTTCCAGGGCCCCGAGGCAAACCGAACCTTTTGCTCCCTCCTAAATGTCAAGCATGACTGGGTTTTTATTACAAGAATTATCAGAGGCTACATCACTGGCACAAAGCTCTAGGTGAGGAAATTGCGAGGCTGCGGCAGTCTGTGGCTTTGGAAAGAAGACATAATGCATGTAGGAAGGTGGTGATTTACATTCCAATGGCAATATTATTTCTTAAGTGTATTCTTGAATAGTGATTGCCATTCTTTCCTTGGGACTTGAGATTCAGTTATGAGTTTCCACTGTTATGTTTCCAAGCAGGAGGGCATGGCCATTTTGGGGACTCCACGGGGATTTCACTAACACTTGATATACGCTGATGATGGTTCAGATTTTCATGAACTATTTTCCTGCAAATCTTCAGGAGATTTTAGCCAACTCATTTTTGGACCATGTATAAAAGTTGTGAATTTGGTCCAACTTTTTTTATCCAGTTCATGGAACAATTAGACATATGATCTGGGGTACCAAACTTAAAAAAAATATATATTTAGTATTTTACTAAAACACCCAATACTCGGGGAAAAATTACTTTGTTGTAATGCAATTCCTGTCATGTCCTGAATCCTGGGAGCCCAGCACAGTGCAGGGTACCAGCATCTCTCCTTAGCAGCCCTTCCTTCTTCCCGCAGCTGGCACTGTTTTGAATTATTTAGGTCAGAGCTACCATCATTGTTGTTGTTTTTTCAGTGCTTGGGGCTTCACAAGTGAGTTAATATAGAATCAGGACTTCCCCCATCTCATTTAAATTTTGCTAGTCTTTACCATTCAACTCTGCTTATTCATGGGCTCAATCTGATTCTGATTTCTACATTTAAAAAAAAATGATTAGAGCACCCTCCGCCTGGCCAGCTGGTGGAGCTTAGCATTAGCCCCTCCCATACCTAGGGATGTTGAGTGGGTCACTGGCTCCATTTGTCCTTTGGGTGTTTGTTGCTGCTGATTGGATCCAGGGGTTTTTGCTTCAGCGTTCTGGGGGTTCTTTGTTGACTTCTAAGTGCTATTGTTCCTTCCCTGGTGTCTTGTTCCTGCAATTAAACTTTTACTTCTCTGTTTTGTTTTGACCAGTTGAGCACCAAACTGGAACCCTATTCAGTAAGTGGGCCCTGATACTGGGTGGGAACAGCCTTCCTATCAGATTCACAGTTATAAACTATGCTCTTTCTTACACCCCATGCTGTGAGATCACCCACTTCCTGTGAATTTGTCGCAGTCTTTGGATATCAGGTGCCTGCACTTCTGCATTTGAGCAACTTACAGTCAAGGGTTGGGCTTGTACAAAACCTTAACACTTTTGTTTTTCATTTCTGCCCCTTATTACATTAAGGTCACATCTAGTCTATATCCCACAACTTTGCCAATGGTAAGGTTACCAGTGAGTAACTCAGTGACAGAATCATTATCTAGAGCAGCAGTTCTCAACCTGTGGGTTGCGACCCCTTTCACAGGGGTCGCCGGGTACTCATATGTGGGCATATCTGCATGTGGGCCTGGAGACGGATAGAGGAGCGGTGTCTCGGTTCCTAAGACCATAGAAAATATGTGTTTTCCGATGGTCTTAGGTGACCCCTGTGAAAGGTTGAGAACCGCTGATCTAGAGGGTCAGAAAACAACAGAGATTGGTTAAGAGTTAAGGCTTTGGAGTCAGACTATCTAGAGTCAGAATATCACCTCAGGCTGTGTGACCTTAGGGAAGTTTATTAACCTCTCTGAGTCACAATATCTTTGTCTGGAAAACCTAGATGGTAAAGATCTCCTTCAAGGAGCTATGGGGAGGATAAAAATGTATATAATGTGTTTGACAGAGTTTCTGATCATAGTAATTATTCAATAAATGATGTTGTTTTTATTATTATTGGTAAAGTTCTATAAAAATGATATCCATAAAGTATACAAAAAGGTTCCATATAATTAGGCTCTTCATATTCAGTCCATCTCATTATGGGCAATAATTATGCTATCATTTTTGTTATACAGAATTCTATACAATGAATAATCTAAGAAAATGGGTGCCTCTATAGTACGAAAGTCCTTTACTTCTCTGCAGTGAGAGAAGCTGTTTGTGCACTTTCTGATATTGTAAGTACAGAGTGTGGTTATGTGATTAATAAAGGGGACACTGCATTCTTGCTGGATCACAATATGAATTTTCTTTTATGTCTGGATATCAACTTGGTCCCATTCTCTACTATAATCCGAGGGTATAATTTCCAATAGAGCCATTTTAAACCAATTC